GCGCCGTCCATCACTGGCCAGAACTCCCGAACTACGATCATTATCTATTTCTATGACTATTCATTACCGCGGATCACGCGAAGCAACGATCATTTTTTCAGTTTATCCATCAGCATTCATCAACACATCCGAATCCCGCCTTTCTTCCCTGTCTCCTTTCACCAAAATTCACACGTCACTCTTCGTATCCTCCTGTTCGTCCTTCTCGAATGCATCGTGGGACAGAGAAGTATTCGTGCCTCGAGTAACGGTTGCAATGATTCTCGACGAATATGCCGCGTGGTTAGCATCACGCTTCGAACCTTTTCCGTCCCATCATTGCGGCGCTCAAGATCGTAAACGCCCTGCAACGGCAATGTCTAATTCAACTTGTTTTCTATGTGGATTAACTTTTTCCAGAAGAGAGCGTACACAACTGTGCGTACACTGTGACTGAGAGAAACAGCTCTTAGTGTATCTGAACAGAGACTGTATGAATATCATGATGATGTATTAGAACACGCGCTGCACGCGGCCTTTTGCAGGTGGTTCAGAGACCGAGGGTGGCCTTGGTAAGTAATCGATGGCCGCAACATGCAAAGGTACATGCAATTGTCTGTTATAGGATTTAGCCTGATTTCTCGAGGACACGAGGAGAAACCGAATCTTCTGTTCGACCGTCCACATTAACCCTGGTTGACTTTTCAGTTCGTCTTGCGGTCATTCTGGTTCTATTAGTCTCCATATATATATATACATGTATACATATACGTATATATATATATATACATATATATACATACACACATATATATATATACCTTTCTGTTCACGCTACTTGCCAACCACCGAACGCTCTATCAATCGACCTTAGCGCGTAACGATACCACTTATCATCGAACCTTACTCCTATATTTTTCGCTTCGTTCGCAAAATCGTGCCCATCAAATTTCATCTTGTCATCTCGAATGCGTAATGCGATAAAGAGAGGAAATTCCGTTAGAATATGCTTATACACCGACCGTACTACGCCAGAATGACCCTTCCTCCATGGACACCGGCTACGCAGCACGCAGAAAATGATCTTTTCTTTATCGTTTAATACCTCCTTTGCCCTAACTTTGCTAACGCAGCTTTGTACAGGGCTGCCGCACTTCCGGTCACTTTCCGCCTGATGACGGACAAGCTAAGAGTCGATCCACGAGTCACCAGATTCGTTCTACCGATCGGCTGCAACATTAACATGGACGGAACAGCGCTGTTCGTCGCTGTCGCCAGCATATTCATCGCGCAGATGCACGGCATCGTACTGGGCTTCGGTGAAATTATAACGGTCATGTAAGCACCTTTCTTCCACACGATTTTCTTCCGCCCTTCCATTGGCCGACTTACCTCCTCCTCCCTTTCTTTTAAAGCTTGACCTCTACCGCTGCGTCAGTCTCGTCGGCCTCAGTTCCAAGCGCCGCCCTTGTCCTTCTTCTCGTAGTCTTGAGCGCCATAGACGCTCCAGTTTACAACGTCTCTCTGTTGTTCACCATTGATTGGTTCGTGTAAGTATCGCGGCTTCTCTTCTCGTTCACGAAAATTCCAACAATACTTGGTTCAACATTTCCGGTCAATTTTCACAAACAGGGACCGCATTAGGACCACAAACAACATGCTGGGAGATTGTTACGCAGCTGCGGTTGTCGAGCAGTTGTCGAAGAAGGAACTGATGGCGCTGGACGCAGCAGCTTATCAGGTACGATTGAAAATTTCACGAAACGGTTGAAAGTTTGTTCGAAGAAAGGAGCTGTACGATACCGATACTGTTTCAGTCGGAGACTGTTCTACCCACAACTATCGCGAACGGTTGCATTTCCGCCAACAGGGTACCTGATCCAGACACCATTGTCGTCGAGATGCAAGACGACACGAGGATAGCCGGCGCCGCCAAGTAAACAAGCTTGTTGGTAGGGCTAGGCTATCACTTTGTACGAACCGAACGATCGCTTGCATATTTTTTCGTTTACGTCTTTTATCCTGCTTTGCTTCTATATCGGCAAACGACTCGTTCACATTTCTAAATGATTCATGGCAAGCTTTCCTCTACGGTAAGAGGTAGGTTTCTCATTTCTTCACTTTCGTGCACCGTTGTTAAATCTAACATATACATATATAAAATATATACGGTACGTTCATTTGAAATCAATGAGCCGGCAACAGTAGAGTATCGATCGTCGTTCGTATAACGAGTTAAGGAATAAGAGAATCATTCGTGACAAGCGCAATCACGTCCGCCCGCAATCCTTTTTATAACTCGCTCGGTAATTATTCAAGAAATCGTATACGTCGCGGTGAAAAATCGTGCCGCTTCGACCTAGAAGCACTCCTAGATCATTGTACCGCATAACGCCATATGAATATCCAATCAATCGCAAATCAATGTACCGTACCGTCGAGAAGTGATTCACGCAAGAGAGACACACAGTGAACTTTCCATACTGGCATTATGCAAATTGTTGCGCTATGACCTTAAGAGTGACCACGGCACGATAAATCGAGCGTGATACGTCGGGGAAAAAGAAGCGAGCGTGCTCAACGTTCGGAAACTAAACGTCTAATGTAGATTTACGAAGAGATCGCTTCGAGTTCTCGTCCTTCGAGCAAACTGATTTTTCGACAACGATCGATTTCCGATGTTGAAAACTGGGATAAAGTACACCGAGACAGATACTTGTCGCGAGAATCACACACTTACTCCATGTTGTAGCATCGAACATTTTCTGCCGCCATCACTCAACGAACAATCATCCTCGACGAAAAGTTCCATTCATTCTTCCATGTGATCGTCGTCACCTTCGAGAACACTTGGACATTGCATTACGCTTGTTTAAAGAAAGATAAAGAAAAAAAGTGCTGCTTCGAGTCGACGCGAGTGCCGGTGGGGCGAGCACCCTTCAATATTGTTGTTTCGTTTCAGCATCAGCGTATTGCAGATACCGAGGAGCGTGACCGAAGAGACAGTTTGACCTGCGCTTCACCCCGAAACTTTAGCTTAGCCACTCTATAAATACACACACACACACGCGTACCATCGAGTGCGATGCGTTCAACGGGGATCAAAGGAAACGTACACCGGCTACACACCCTTTTTCTGTCGCACCATGTTTTCTACCCTCACAGAACGGACGTTTGCAGGGGACGACGTGACCTGCAACGCGAACAGATATCAAACATAAAGTCAATACGAAGGGGTGTGTCACGATCGGTTCAGCGCTATGGACGCATAGCAATAACGAAATGCGTTTCGAAGCTTTTGTAGTGGCTTGTTCGAGCAAACATGGAAATAATTCGCGAGACCACCGATTCGATCGCGGCTACGGAGTTATTAACGATCGCGTGAACAGCGTCGAATGTGGTGCCTTATTTAACCCGCGCGGCGTTTATTACGGACCGCCCTCGAAAGTAGAAAAGAGAAAATACCAAAAAAATAACCACTTTCCATTTGTCAAGCGTATGCGAGCAGCGGCGTTCGGCTCACCGGCCGGTGAGTACGTTTTTTGGTGACCGATCGATCGTTGTACTGCCAGAAAAATCTTTTGTACGATGTGAACTTTTGCGAGTCGACGTTACAATTTTTGCGAAACACTTCACTTACCTTCTGGAGACTTTTTATTGATTATATTGCGTCGGACTGTGAGCGGAACGTTGCACGGTGCCACACAACACGATCCAACACATTGTGACGCTTTCGTCGATGTCCCATTCGATATTCGGATCTTGATCGATTGTTGACATACGTTACGTGGAAGAATACCGGAAACAATACGTTAGCGGATGGTTTTAATGCCACATATTGTGTAGCGTTTAGAAACGTTGTGATACGAATTGATTAACACACGAGTCACAATAGTAATTATGTACGTACGTATCGAGTCATCGGTTAACGTTTCATAGATATAAATAACGTCGTTGAACACTACCAAATCGTAGACGAGAAAGAGAGGAGAGAAAAAAAAAAAAAAAAAAAAAAAAAAAAAAAAGAAAACAACATTTCGAGAGAGAGAGAACATAGCGGTTCCTTTTAGCTTTTATCATACCGAATTTCACTTTTTGGACCATTGACGACAAATCGTAGATCGGTGCACAGAAATCTCCGTCGCGGCAACAGTCCCTTTTAGAACCGAAAGGAACTTTGTCCGAGAGATACCTGATGAAGGCACCGCATCTACACACAGTTCTGCCTCCGTGTTTTTGATCGACCCTTAGGCTAATTTATATCTCAGAAAAAAAAAAAAAGCAAAAAAACAGTTGCCGACTTTGTAGCACACGTGCAAACAACAAACGAACAAAACCAAAAAAATGGAAAAATGAAAAAATAGAACGAACAAAAGAAAAGAGAAGATCACATACAGCGCTCGTCGTCGAGCAGTTTCAAGACTGGACATGCCATTTGAATTACTATGTATATCGTTATAGGGGAATTCCGAAGAAGGGTTCACTAATTTTAGGCACTAGAAAACGTAGGTCGATACGTGTTCTCTCGTAGAGACTGTTTAAATGTACAAATTAACTGGATAAATAGTGCTTCGTAGTGGATTATTCGTCGCTCGAGAGGCATACATATATACGAGTATGTATGGTTCCATTCGAGAGATTTCTGAATAATTTCAGCATATCCCTGTCGCTATTTTCGTTCGACGATCTTGCTTTTCCATTTTTCCTCTTTTCTCCCCCTTAGCTCACCGGAATTGTCGCGTTTCGATTGAACCGTTCACTTTTCGAGTTTCGCCGTGGTGCAAGTGTTTGCGTGACGTTGAGTTACTCTTAATTTCATGTAGCGTATACGAGAAAGTGCTTTGTTTGTAGTCTAACCTAATCGAAACGGGAGAATAGAGAAAGAATTTATCAAAATACTTCAAAGACTACATGTGAATATACTTGTAAGGCTCAACGTGTTGTATAACAAGATGCAGGTTTATATAAGACCGCGCGGTTGTGTTTCATTCTCAAAAGAGTTCCCTTTCCTCCACTCCTGCGAAGGAAGAAGAATGTCGGGCAGCACAGGGGCTACGAAAGGAAGAAGAGAAGTATTTCCTAAAAAATTCATTTATTTTTAAATTCACCCGAAGGTGAATCCTCGGCTCGCAGGGGAGTCTTTGTACAAAGAGTTCTTTTTTTTTTTTATACAAAATATGACATATCTATTTGCTAATATTTATGCATATGTACTTGGCTGAAGTGTCGTCTCCCGTTACATCGAGATTCCATTCGGAAGACGTACGTAGAGTAAGAAAAAAAAAGAACAAGAATTAAACGAGGGATGTCAAAGTGGCGCTCGTCCGGAGCTGCGCTGCCACGAAATATCGAAATGATCAGTGCGCTCGTGGCGACGCTTCATCGACCCGTTGATACCAAGCCATGCTCGAGGAAAACCTTCGATCGACCGGATTCCCCTTTAACGAGGAGAAAAGAAACTGGGTCACTCTGTACATATCCGCGCGTTTCAACGAGCATGGCACGAACATCGAATTGGGGGCAGTCTATCTTTTGATTATAAGGCGCAAACGTTACTTCCCTTTTTTTTGTCCTTTCCGCGACAGTCATTATTTACACGATTTCACTTAACGTCTACGACCCCTGTCTCGGGCTCCTCTATTTACAAAACACTCGAGTATTTTCTTCAACTATCGACCGACGATCGAGAAACGGCAAGTAACAGTCGTATCGTACAAAAAAGAAGGGGGTAAAAAGCAAGAAGAGAGAAAGAAATAGTATCGTCTTAGAAAAATATCGCGCAATCGCCTCTTTTCCGCAGCTCGCACGCTCTCAATTTTACGCGTTCAGGATTCTTTCGTGTAGTACGTGAGGGAGGGGGTAGGGAAACGAGATATTATCTACAAACATTGAAATTCGGTTCTACTAGTCTAGGTACGCGGTGAAAGAGGCGTTTGTGAAAAAGAAAGAATTTGCACCTTGGCACCTTCGAGAATCCCGTCGAAGGTCAGTCAACTTAAGAGTCTCTATTTTATTATACACACCGCATACTGGAATCACACGAAACTCGAGGAGTTTCTCGCTGTCTCAACTTTATTCACACGTTCTCTAAAATATCTTTTCGAATCGTCGTCTCGTTCAAATGCATCGCGCAAACTAATACTAATACCTGACGCATACTCAGATCCTCAGCTCGGCGTCGGTAACTGGAATACCCCTATTGGCACTTTGACTGGACCTTTGAGTGGCAGGTGGCACCAAAGGACTGATACTAGGACTTCTGGTGGCGAGAGGGGACAAGGACGGCGAGAAACTAGGGCTGAGGGCAGCTGACGGGAAGGTGGAGGCGTCGTGACTGATGGGAGACCTCGGAAGAATACCCCTGGCCAACGCGGGAGCCGCCAACGATCTAGGAGCAACGGAAGTGAGCAATGGTGGGGGTGGAGCTTTATGTACAGACTTGGTTTTGCCGCTGCTTCCCGAGTTTCCGCTTTGAACGCTAGCCGCGTCGTCCTTCAGCCTGGCGATCTCGCTAAATACGTGAGCCAGGGGTTGGTAGTGAGGACCCCAATCGAGTAAATAGTCCCAATTGTACGATCCTGTCAGTTCTTCCTCGCTGTGCACTATCGAGCTCAAGGAACCGTTCATCGACGGTCCTCCAGGCACCTCTAGACCCGACATGGGTCTCCCAGGCTCGCCAATTTTCCCGTAAATTAAGGTAGCGATGTCCGCTTCGGTGGCTGCCTCGTCCTCGAACAAATGCAGACTATCCAGAGGCAGAGCTTCCGGTGGTCGTCTTGGAGTACCAGCTGGGGGATCGACGATTCCTAACCTGGCTAAATATTCCTGTGTATTGTGAACCGATAGATCGCTAGCCGAGTCTCCGGTCTGCTGTCCTTCGTTGATCATACGAATCTCCTCGTCTTCTCCGTCGTCCTCGGCGGATCCTCTGCCAGACGAGCCGGACTGATCGCTGCCAGATAGTTCTGAGGTAGCCTGTTGCTGTCCCGATTGACCGGACGTGCCGTAAGGTGGTATTTCGTCGTACTTTGGAGGTGCAAATTGACAAGACGCAGCACCGCCCCCGCCGTTGCCATTGCCAGAGCCTCCATTCCCAGCCGCGCCTACTCCAGCCACGCTCCTAATTGGAATGGTATCGAAAGCACTTGGATCTACGTAGCTGTTGGAAGCAGTAGCGTTGCTCTCGCCGTTCAAACCTGGCTTACTTCCTGGCTTTTTGTGCCTTCGATTTCGAAGATGAAGGTAGAGGAAAATGGCCCCAAACGCGACTACCAGTAGCAACAGAGCGATTAGCAGACCTAAGGCCCAGTCTGCCAGACCTCCAGTAGCAGCGACGGCCATGTTAGAGCCTACGTCTGTTGGAGTGGCTAGTGCAGTGGCCCCTCTGGCTTCGTTCACGTCGCTGTCATCCGTCAAAGTGATCTCTACCACCGTCATGTTCGACAAAGAGCCCTGTCTACCTGAACTAGCACTGACCACCAGCCTTGACGATTCCTCGACGTCCATATCGATGTGCACCAACTTCTGCTTCACGATCAGCGCACCCGTGGTGCGATTCAATTTGAAATAAGGGTGTTGCGAGGTCAATTGATAAACCACGCGACCGTCGGGTCCTTTGTCGCGGTCTGTAGCCGTCACGTGACCAATTACCGTTCCAGGAAGCACCTGAGCCCCCCTTCTGATACCGAATCTGTACATCCTCTCCGTGAACTGGGGATAGAACTCGTCTCTCGACTCAATTTCCACTCTGACTCTGACAGCAGCTGTTCTGCCACCGGTATCGGTGGCGCGCAACGTGAACGCGTATCGGTTTCGCAACTCGTAGTCGAACACCGCACGAGTCGTCACCGTTCCAGACTTCCCATCCACCGCGAACAATTTCCAGCTGTCGTCGATGTCTGAGAATCCTGTTGCCGCGGCGGACACGATCGAATAGTTCAAGGATCCGAAAATACCACGGTCCAGATCCGAGGCACGTGCAGAGAACACGGTCGTTCCAATCGGCTCGTTTTCTCCAACGAATTCCAAGTATTCGGGGACTGGGAATTTCGGTGAATTATCGTTCACGTCTTCTAAGTGAATTCGTAGCCTGGTTAACGCGCACAAAGGAGAAACTGGGTCGCTGTCGCAGGCCATTATCACGAGATTGTGAATATCGGGCTCAAGATCGCAGTCTAAAGTCGCGTTCACTAAAACTGCTCCAGTGGTCCTCTCCACTCTAAAGAGGCCACCGTCGTTTCCGGAGGTTATCTCGTACACCAAATTCGCCGCCGTACTTCCAGCCAAATCGTCGTCCTTGGCACGTAAAGTCGCCACCGTGGTACCTCTAACCGCGTTCTCTTTAATCGAAACCTGATGAAGATCCTCCAAGAAACGAGGGTAGTTATCGTTTACATCTTCCACCGTGATGATTACCGTAACAGGTTCGTCCCCTACCAATGATCCTGTCGTCATGTTCTCGTTTTTCGAGCCTAGTCGTAAGACGTACCTGAAAAATTCGCTTATTAATACGAGATCAGAAGGATCGCGAGCAGTTCTATCTGCAACTTAATCAGCCAACGTTACTTACCTGTCCTTCGTTTCTCTATCGAGCGTCTTGGAGAGGATCAATCTGCCTCTGGAGACTTCGAACGTTCCGCTATCATCGCCAGCTACTATGGTGCCGTCTAAAAGATCCACGTCGGACAGTCTCATCAACGTTGTTCCTTTGAGAGCGTTTTCTTTCACGGTGATCTTGTACTCTTTGCCGGGCAGGGTGCTCTTCAGGCTGCTCAACCGTACGACGACCGAGCACACAGACGACGCCGGTGGTTTGCCGTAATCTTCCGCCACGATAGCCAACTCCACCTCTTTGGGCAAGGGTCTCGGTATCGCGGTACGATTAACCGTCAGAACACCGGTTGCAGGATGCACCGAGAAGCCTTTGGTAGCTTTGAGCAGATAGTATCGTACACGGCTGTTGTCCTCCGTGAGGTCGTCGTCGGTAGCGTTCACCGTCAGAATTTCCTGCAGCTCTCCCCGTCCCTCTGCGCGAAAGAAGAAGAGAAAAGAAATGGTTAGGTGAGTGACGTTCGTGGAGCAGCGGCGAGAGAGTACCGGCAGCTTTTCCTATATCGGGCTTGCTCGACGAAGCGAAAGGATCGAGGAAAAACGAGAGTAGCAGAGAGTGCTAGTGGATCGATTGCCCGTTCGTAAAAAGCGAGAGAGCGTACTCGAAAAGGGCCCGGGACAAAGATCGGGGGATCATGAGCGCGAGGTCAAGTACCCTCCGCCTCTTTTTGTCGGAGGTACGTCCTCGAGCAGCACACCACCGCCAGCACAACTACCACCAACAGTGGTTCTTTCTTTTCTCGGTAAAGGAGGAGGATAAGCCGTCCTGACATCGGGCTGAACGGAAGTATGAAATAATAACCAGTTATATAAATCGCTCGGCCGAGCCGTGGGGCCAGCAGGACGGAGCCAGCTCCGCGGCTACAAAAATCATTTCGATGCGTTTCAAATCGTCGGATAACTCGGCATTAATGTGCCAAGCTCCGACCTAAAGCGAAAAGGGAGGACAAAGAGAGAGAGAGAGAGAGAGATGTGGATAGGAGGAGGAGAGGCTGAAATAAAACTTGGCGAACGCGCAGCCCTTTGGGGATGTCCGTGGTGAGGAGGTAGGACGACCTCGGAGGAAAGGGGGATCTTAACCGAGAAGTGACAGGTACTCTATAATTATTGCGAGGTGCGTATGACCGTGGAGTGTTCGCATCACGGGACGCCTTTGCACTGGGACGAATTCTTATTACTATCCCCTTTCGCTTCATTAACCCCTCCCCCTTTTCCACAATATATCCTGCCTACCCCGGACAGTTTAATACGATTTTGATAATCACCGGATTAACTCGTCTTCCTTATTCTTCCTTATCTCAATATAAACGATATCTCCGGCATATTCGTACCGAGGAGAGAGCAGTCGTAAATTTTGCGGTAACCCTGTGTGTGACTGTTGGTCCGGAGAATTGAAAGGCGGCAGAACCCTTTCCCGGGGACCCGTGCCACGTTTCCCAGCTTACACGCGAATCTACGAATCGGCGAAGCCGGGAGAGGAAGCAGACGAAAAGAAAGAGATGCAAATTTCGCGAGGCAGTCGCCGTGGGAGCTGCTCCCTCCTTTCAACTCTTTCCACGTCCACCTCCTGCCAATCCAGCCTCCCCTGTCACCCCTCTGCCGCCCACCCAAATGCACCATTAGGCGCGGGCCTATGTATTTTTAATAAGTTTCGAGAGTCTTCGAAGCCGGCGATCTCGGCCGGCGGTTGCAACGAAGGCGGCTTTTCGGCTGCCTCGCAAACGGTGTCCTCGCGTATATTTATGTGCGAGGCGTTCGCAATTCTCCTCGTCTCCCTTCTACTCCCTCGTCCTCTTTGCCGGCCCTTCTCATTCGTCTCCCTCCCTCCCTCGCGCGCTCCCTCTCTCTCTCTCTCTCTCTCTCTCTCTCTCTCTATTTCTCGATTGCTCCCCTCAGCATTCGAGCAGCTAGCTTTTCATCGATCCTCTACCATACCCCACCCCTCTCACGCTGTCCTTCTTTCGTTTTCGTTGTTTTCGTCGTCTTGGCCGTTCTTCTCCTCTTCCTCCTCCTCCTCCTCCTCCTCCCTGCTGCTCCTTTCCGCTCTCTTTCCCGACGCTTTATCTTGGCGCGATGTCAATTCGAGTTTGGAACACGGGCAACAGGACAACGCGTGTCTACTAAAAACCAGTTTTTAAACTCGCGTTTATTTCGCGCCGAGGGACTCGCCTCGGGCCACCGTCCCTCTCGAGAGGTCTTTCTCCTCCCTTTCCTCGCTCCGCCGTACCACTTCCCTTCCTCCCGCCGGTTCTTCACCGGAATATCGATCGTATGGATCATTTTAGCACTCAACAGCTGTACACGTGTCTATTACCGCGGGAAAATTTCCACCGTGCATTCATCGCTTCCCAGAAAATTACTTACCAGGCAGCGTGGCGATGTAAGCAGATTGCTGGAAACGCGGGCCGTTGTCGTTGAGATCCGTGACACGAACTATCAGGTCCGTGGTCGCCTCGTGAATACCGTCGCTGGCTATCACCTGCAGGCTGTATTCCGACCGTGTCTCAGCGTCCAGGCGTCTTCGGAGAACGACCTTGCCTCCGTATCTGTCGATACTGAAAGGACCGGGGCTGGTCACGTTGCCGAATCGATAGGTCAGAGCCGGGGAACTGTCCACGTCGTTCGCCGTGATTGTCGTCAGCACCGTGCCAACCGTGGTACCTGCGAAGAGGAAGGGAAAGGGTTAATTTGTAATTTCGGGAAGGAACAGCTTAATACGAAAGAGGGAGGAAATGATCGTTCAACGTGGACAACGTAGAACGTCCGCCGTTGATGAACCATTTAACCGCGACATCGAACAGCAACCCGTTCATCGTGGTACAATGCCAGACACCGTTGTTACTGATGAATGGCTTCGTTATACCAGAGCAGTTACGTTCCCCCTTGCTCTTTTTATCCTCGTGGCCAGGAGCCACTTTGTCACCGGCAGACGATCATTCGCGATACATACACACCACTATACCAGGCCCTTCCGCGAAGCTAAAGACACTTGGAGAGAGTCGCGTTTAAAATGCATCGAATCCCTACTATCGGCTCGCCGCATCTCGCTCGTGCGGGAGAAGAAGGCCAAACGAAGATTCGGAGCTGCGCGGATCGTAGGCGATAATCTCGAGCGTGCCGTCGGCAAATTACGAGAGAGAGAGAAGGAAAGTGATGTTAACCTTGGTGGTTGGATATAGAAAAGTTGGATATAGAGAATTTCCGATCGTTATCGGATGGAGAAATACAGGGAAGGAACGTTTGGAATAGAATTTCGACAGGCCAATTGATAGGGTGAAGCAACACCTGCGCGAAGAAAAGAATTCTTGGACGGCGCGGCGGCGCGACGCGATGCGTCCGGATGGCTCGGGGACTAGCTGGCACGCGGCAACCTCCGCTCGTAAATTTCACGGGTGATCGTTAAAGTCGTGTAAATCGGTTTCGAGAGCGGCCGCGACCCTGGATAAACGCGTGGCTCGCTTCTCGAGCGCCGCGCCGGTAGTGTTCCTCCGCCTCGGAAGCCGAGACAAAGATCTCTCTATCAGGTTGTTCGGGGGGTATCCTTCCTTTCCCTCTCCTCTAATCGTACAAACCCTTAAGAAAACGTCCGAGAGCAAACGGGGAACGCTCGCGAAATAATAAATTCCCATTGCCGTACACTCGATCTTCGTAAGTTATGTCGCGGTAATTCTGATTACCGGAGGTCCACAGTATTCGCGGATCAGCCTGCGTAAATACAAATACGACGTGTGCTCCTTGTACGGAAAATCCGCTCGTCGGTGGTCTACCATTGTTTCGATTTCTCGTGTCAGTGCCACTTTCGGAACCGATTCGATCGATGCTGTCGATTAAATCCTCCTTTGGATGTACACGTGTATGCGTTCCCGGCTAGCTGACCGCGAGAGGTACCTCTTCGGGAACAAAGGCGTGGAACATCGGTGAACCGCACCTCTCGTTTCGCTAGATTCGCTGGAACGACGAAAAATAGTAAACCCTTCCCTCGAAATCGCGCTCGTTTCGCAGATTACGCCGGTAACCGTCTGACCGGTCGTAAGAAATTTAATCGAGGTTTTCTATGATTGTCAAAAGGATAAGTCGGCGCCGGTAGCGGTTGCAGCAGGTGCCTGAAAAGGCTGACTCGCCACGGTATTAAATAAATTCTATCGAGCGGTGCATCGCGAATAGAAGTGGTAGCAGTCTCGTTTGCACCGGACTGAAGTTTTATGGTGATACAAATTAGATAGCGATCTCGCGTTACTCTGTTGGCGCGCGAGTACGCGGCCTTTCGTGTTGAACCTTCTTAGAAGTTTACAAGAAGAAGAAGTAAAAAAGGGACAAGCACTGGTATAAGTAAAGAAGAAGAGGAGGAAGAAGTAAACAAGAAGTGCGGCAACATGAGAGGGGTAGTAAAACGAAATTCGCGATGTAAATTAAACGAGGCGCGTTTAAATCTCGAGGACCGAAGACAGGGTAAAACGCGGAGGAAGCAAAGGAAGGAGTATTTTACCAAGAGCCCCGAGAGTCGCACCTTGCGTAACACGATTAATTACGCCTCGGAATCGGCCGATTTATTTATCGATTGTCACTTCCTACTTTCTTCGACTTATCATATTCGCTAACGTCTCCATCGTAACCGGCTGAGAAAAGAATGCTGTCCCGAAAGGGATGGTAGCAGCACGAGGCTGGCGCTTACACGTCAAACTCGGGGCCACCTTTGCACGGCGCCGTCCATTGAATCGTATCTGTCAATGGGGAACAATATGAAACCGAGGAGGACAAAGCGCGTGGAACAACGGCGAGGAAGAGAGATCGCGAACTATTCGAACGGGTGTTCGCAGCCTCGCCTAAGTTATGCAGATTGTTCCGAACAGTTGGACTTTAATGCCGGCATAAATCCTTTGCCACTTAACTTTATACTTGGAGAGTAGTATGCAGTCCCACCTCGGCTACCCGCGTCCCTTCCTTTTTTTTTCCTTCGTGCTTCTTACTTTTGCCCTTTCTTCCCGACCGTTCTCTTTTCTCCTATGTTCCGTGCCTCCACGCGACTTTCACGCGAGCAACTTACCCGACCGCAGCTAAATCTCACAACTTCCCGACTCGTTCGAATTTATCAGACAATTAGGTTAAAGAAGAAGGTCGTTTAGCGAGAGGACCAGACTGGTTGTGAATGGACTAATTGCGAGCGACACAGCGGATCGAAATACAAGGAGGCGTACACGCACTTGCGTCTGCTCGTAATTTGTTCGCGCACGATCGCGGCACAGATGACCAGGCTAATAATCATCGGTTAACCTTCGCATCGAAGAACAAACGCTGCAATTGAACTATACGATCCGGTGCAATTAACTCCCGCCGTTTCATTTCTAAGGCCCGATGACATTTATAATCCACCTTTTAAGTGGCGCCCAGCCAGTGGATCCTGGGCGCGCGTCGATGGTAATTAACGCTGGCCTTACCTTCCGACACCGAGATGATACTGTGCTCTGGAAACGTTGGCTGATTGTCGTTGATGTCGATCACACGCACGCTCAGCGCCGCTGTGCCTGTTAGCTGAGGATTACCCTGGTCCGTTGCAATTATAGTCAGTCTATACTTCTCTCGAATTTCACGATCAAGGACTATGTTCGTTCGAACTATGCCGCTGTACGGTGGACTGATCGTAAATGCGTTGTCCGGATTGCCGTCTACGATGTGATAAAGTATCCTGCTGTTCATTCCTTGATCCGCGTCGCTGGCTGACAGCTGTGCAAACGAAAATTACACGCTTCTACACTTGTAATTACGGAAAATAAAGACAGATTATTCGCGTAATATCTTACCTTGACAACAAAGTCTCCTTTAACGTTGCCTTCCAATACCGTTGCCGAGTACTGCGTCTGAGTGAACACAGGCGGATTATCGTTCACGTCGGACACTTTGACCACAACCTTTACGTAAGCTTCTAAAGGATCAGCTCCGTTGGTTCTAGCAGCCACTGTCAGAACGTGCTTGGAGCATTCTCTAGGCTCCTCCTTGGACTGCTGTCCTTCCAAGGACCTGCCCCACGAATTCGTACGACCGTCCTCGCTCTGCTCCTCCAAAGGCTTCACTCTCATGTCGGTCCACAGTTCTGCGTCTAGTCTGGAGGGATCGTTGACGCGTAACAAGCCGGTATCTTCGTCGATGGTGAACGTTCCGAAATCGTTCCCCGATCCAAGAGAATACGAGACGTGTTGCCTTCTACCGTCTGATCGCACAGCAGAGACTTGGATCACCTCGGTACCAGTCGCAGAATTCTCCTGAATGGTGACCTCGTAGGAGTCGTTTTGAAATTTTAAAACTGGCGCCAAGTCGGCTAGATCTCCCACGTGCAGCTCGATCAGTCCTCGAGCACTCTTCGGTGGAATTCCCTTGTCTCTAGCTAGAACCTCCAAGTGATACGTCTTGCCGTTATCTTGCGACAAGGACAACGCTGCGGTGACGGCACCGGTGCTCGGATGTATCCTGAATTTTGGTTTCTCCTGATCGTGCAGAAAAGAGTAGACGATCTCCCCGTTTAGACCCTCGTCGGCGTCTGTCGCCACGACCCTAAGAATGTTCTTCTCCGGCTGTGTTCCAATGGACACACGTGCACGAAAAGGGTACTCCTCGAACACGGGAGCGTTGTCGTTGGCGTCGCTAATTCGAATCTCGACGGGAATAGTGGTGCTTCTGGCGTCGTATTTCCCACTATCCGTAGCCATCACCACGAAGCTGTACAAACTTTGTCGCTCTCGATCCAAAGGCCTGCGGGAAAAACGATCGTGCTAGAGAAGGTTGGATAGTTAGAGCGGAACAGATAGAGCGGAGAGAAGTTGATAAGGACCGGGTACATTAGCGACGTGTACGAAAATTACGTTCACTTGGTTTCTGGTTTGTGTGTGCATCAGATGCATCTTTAATTCTGATTTACCGGTCAATAGACGATTGTTCGAATCGGGGGAGAACCGAGGTCGGATTTAAGCGGAAGGTGGCGGCGTGGCGTAGCGCGACGGCCGCGGCGGGTAGCTTGTTTGTGTGACGGAAGCCTTAATCGCGCACAGCGATCTTGTGTAATCCACGTCCGCCATTACCATAACTCTACGGATCCTCCACGGCGGCTCACCGGCCGACCGGCCGGCCGCCGAGCGGAGCCGAGCCGCACCGCGCCGTTTCGTGTCTTAAATCGCACGAAAGCCGGGGGAGGTTTGCCTCTGCCTTTTCGCCGTTACCACCGCCAACGAATTTAGCGTTCCCGTCGCCGTGAGCTATACGCCACGAGAAATCGCAATATCGACTTAGCGTACCGCCGAGACGCTCTATCCCCCACCTTTTTCCGATTTCTACTACACCTCTCCCCAACTGGATAGTTTCTTCCGCTTTTTACACTGCTTTTCCCCTTTAACCAGCCACTAGCCGCAATCTACAGCTTTCCCGGTATCTCTTACCCCTTCTAATACACACGACGTCTTTATCACGCGAGAGAGCTAATTCTAATCTAATTATACTATCGCGGGGTAAATTTTTCGCTCGACACGAATGCATAATTTGCATCGATTCAAAGTGGCCGTTTAACGAGCAACATTCAATTGCCGCGCGAATTTTTCTCCAGCATTCCAGCTAGATAGCCGTCGGATAACGCTCGGAGTAATTTATCGTATCGGCGGACTTTGTCTTTATTAGGCCGTTTCGAAAAGTCACGCGAATTTAAGAGGTATAGGTAGATAAGCGCATGGCGCGATAATGTCTCTGCTGGCTGGGTCGGGTATAGCGCGGCTAGCCTCGTGTGTGCACGTAATAACCTTTAACGAGCGTGGAATAATAATCGGGCGCCGCGTTGCGCCGCGCCGGTAGCGCGCAAAATCGACGCTGTTATTTACGATTTAACCGGTGTGTCGCCGCTATTCCTCCCCGCCACTTTTATTCACGCCGGCACGGATCATCCCGATGCGAGAGATAATATTCCCGCGAACCGTTTGCTCGTCGAAAATCATCGTCTCTGGCGGTGAATCGCGCGGGCCGCTATGATCCGAGTAATCGCGACGAAGTTATCGATACCGAATCGTCGTTGCCATTCAGTCTCGTTATCGCCTCTCGATCTCGCGAGATCTGGTCTCGCTTCTCGTGCCGCTACATCTTCCGGGTGGTCCTGGGAACGAACAACGGGAGAGAAGCACGGTACACCTACCAGTGGTCGAGCCGTCGACTTAACAGCAATAGCAACAATAACAGCAACAACGCGTACACGAGAGCATGTTCGATGGCTACCGATCGGAGGGGAATTGGAGAGGGAGCAGGCAGGCAGCATCGGCCGCGGTGCGAAGAACGAAGAAAGAAAGTTTCGCCGGCAGGAGAGGAAAAAGGGGGACGGAGAAAGAGACGCGACAGACAGAGATCGCGAAAGAGTGGCCCGACCGGGATCTGGTTTTGCATATCAGGCTTTTTGCCGGCTGAAATAATGCATTGAAATGCCACATGGTGTCCCGCTGAAATGACACACGGCTGTCGCGCGGCAAAAGTACGCCCCTGCGTGCCTCTTCTCGGGAGCTCCTACCGACACCCTTCACCCTATAGATCACCCTATTTCTCCGCTCCTTCTTTCCTCCTCTCCTCTTCTCTTCTCTTCTCTTCTCCTTTCGACGCGTCTCTATCGAGGAGACGGAGCCGTCGCGAGGAATGCGACAACTTTCATATACCTACGTGTACCTATGTAGATTGATAAAAACATCCCGACGAGTAAATAGAAGAAGGAGAAGGGCAGGCCAGCGCGAGTACCGCCGTGGTATATCTCCTGGTCGTAAGAATAATCGAGTGAACGATCAACGTGGCGCGTTTCACTTGCGAGGTCAAGGTTCGTGGGACCCTCGGTGAAATTATCTATTAATTAACCAGATTCGACCTTGACGGGACGGAAGCCATGGAAGGGGTAGGAGTTTAACGACGTCTCGCGATACGGGTTTATTGCGCGCATAATCGCGAGGGACACAGCGGAGGAGGGCAGACTAGGAAGAGGCCGGAGGAGGAAAGGAGACGGGAGGAGGAAGAACACGTTGATCCGTGCCGACGGGTTATGCATATGGAATCAACTAATCGACCACAGTGCATCGTTCGCGAAGGCGCATCGACTGACTTTATAATTTTACGACGCTCCTAGACCCTCCACCGCCGACGCCCTCCTCACCCACCAGCCAGGACCAAGCGTTCCTTTCACCTCCATCTCCGTCACCTCACCTCCTCCTCCACACTGTGGTTTTTTCCATTTCTTTATCTCCCCCGCTCCTCCCATGCGCCTACTTCTCGTTTTATGACGCCATGGTACCCTGCGTAATATCCCACTGGCGATCCTAATCGGACGCGCAATAAAGTTCGCGCGGTAATTAACACCAGAATGAAATTAGTTTGCTGGCATGGCTCGCGAAAGAAAGAACGTACGCTGTGGGAGAGGGGAGGGGAGAGAGGCTAGTTAAGAGCATAGTGAGAAAATTGTGTCCGGGTGGCGAACGATCGACTGTGATGGTGTAGAAAAAGAGGAAATTGAACACTCACCCGGCCGTAGTAACGACGCCCGTCAGGTTGTCAACCCTGAACAGCCAGCTCGTCTCTTTCGCGATGGCATACGTGATTTTTCCGTTCACCCCTTGATCAGGATCCGTTGCTCTGACAGACATCACGCTGGAGTCCGGCGCCACGTCTTCCGAAATGGTAGCCACGTATTTACTCGGATGGTAGTTTGTCGGGTAATTAGAAGACGCGTAGGAAAAGCTGTTGGACAAGCCGAATCCAGGGTACTCGGCACCTGGCACTGCACCACGAGGCCTCGATTCGGTGTACTGATTTTGCACGAAGGTAGGAGCGTTGTCGTTCACGTCTAACACTATCACGGTCATGTTGCAGCGTGCCTCTAAACTAGGTCGACCCTTGTCCTTGGCAGAAATCGTCAGGACGTACTTCGACACAGCTTCCCTGTCCAAATTCGACATCGACAGCATCCCTGTCACCGAATCCAGGATGAACTTTGCTCCGATGTTTCCACCTGAAAACAACGCACATGATCGTGTCAACTCTGAAATTGATAACAAGACGATAGGTGAGGATTTCGAAGAGGCTCACCGACGATGCTGTAGTAAATTTCCCCGTTTTTTCCCTCGTCCTGGTCAGCTGCGGCGGTCGTGTGAATGACAGCGGTCTCCTGGTTCTCCGGGACCGCGAGCGTGTAACACGAGCCCGATCTGAATTCTGGGCTGTTGTCGTTTTCATCCATGACTAGAACTTCGAGCGTACTGATGTCCAACAGCTTGCTAGACCTCGCGAGAATCGGGACCGAGTAGCGAGAGGTCTGCTCGCGGTTCAAAGATCCTCGTAGAGTGACCAGACCGTTCGGGGTAATGGAGAATTTGTCCGAGGCGACGTTGCTCGGTATACTGAAGGTGACGTTGCCTGTATAATCGTCGGAGGATGGTTCTCAGTGTCTCGGTCGATATTTTCATTGCGAGAATGTCCGACGCGGTGAATAAAATTAAGCTGTTTTTTTCTCTTCTTGGGGAGATTACGCGCAACGAAATTAGGACTACGCGACCGGTTACCAGGTTTCTCTGTGGGACCACTATCCTGTCGCGTCCTCCCCGAAAATCCAGAATTATCGGTCAGTTTGCATACGTAAACGCGTGCCTTCAAAGCGAACGCGGTCGAGCCCCTCGGTTTCCGAAGATCGACATGTTCCGCAGCGCGTAAATTCTCGGGAATATATCGGTTGGAATTCGAGCCGCGAAATAGCTTTGTTCTCGTGGATTGCTCGTAGCAGAGGACCGCAATTATACAGTCCGTGTAAGATAGAAAGAAGAGATGTCCGGGGACGTGAGGGGTCTCGATGGGTGGTTACCGTCTTCCGATATCTGGCATGTTACGATCGCGAAAGTACAGAATACGACACTTGGTGAATTTACACGGAAAAAGATTGCGCGCTGCACGAAATTTGGGTGGGCCAGGTTTGGGAGGTCGGCTCGCGAGTTGCGCGCGCAAGAAGAGAAGAACGTCGTTTCAGGGAATACCGGTCACGTTTGCCTGTATAAGAGCAACACGCTCGTGAAGCTGCGCGCCCGAGACGAAAGGATTTTACGACGAGCCACAGCACTTTCTTCCCTTCCTTCGTAGTTTTCGCCTTTATTTCCACCTTGGCCGCTCAACGGGGCGACATAAAACGTGTACGTCTAATCCTCGATTTACACGGATAATTGCTGCTCCACGTATAATCCAGGCTACATTTTTATTTCAAATAAACGGCATACGTATCGAGGAACGTAGTTTTGCTACAATCATCAGGTTTGCGTGTGTATAGGAACCAGAGCTCTGTTCCTGCGATTCTCAAATTCCGCCGCGGCGAAACCCACTAGCCTGTCGCGTTAAGATTTTTAGCAGGGATAGAACAAAGCGGAGCGTCCTCGACGGTGTTTCCTTCTGGGCCGTGTATACCAGCGTATCCGCGATCGTAGACGCGGCGGAACGGTAGTTACGGTGTGGCGACACGCACACGCCGGTGCTGGCGCACGTACGAGGGTGTCGGTGTTGGTTGGAACCGGTGATTTGCCTATGCGTACCGCGGCAGTCTGGCGGCACGATGATATACGCGGCCATTGTTTCGCCTCGTCCTCGCTGCTTCTCCCTCCTCGTCGGTCCCCCTCGCTGCCGCCGCCGCCGCCGTCGCGCGGCAGCTCGCGGTTCCTAACCCTTCGGGGGATCGCACAGGGACGCGGAGTCCTTTGCCGGTCCTGCGGGGCGCGCTAATGCGCTCATCTGATACACGGCCGACGGTCTAGATAAGCGCAAAACGAGCGATATACCGTGTTGTCGGCCGTACGGAACGCTTTTGCTACGAGACCGAGAACACCGGACCTTCTGCGCAAGCTTTTAGTAATCATCGTGTTCCCGCGCTGTTCCATCTGTTTTACGGCACGCGGCCGTTTCAGGAAACCACGTGGGAAAGCACGCTTCGCTATCCGATCATGTGTGTGATCGATTAAAAAAAGCAAGTCCGAGTGAAGTAAAGAAGTTTTTCGAGATTTTAAACGAGATAACGGATTCTTGTTCACCCTGCGTAGTGGGTCCGATCGGGTTGGTTTATCGTTATCACGTCAGAGAGACAAGTAGAGGCATAGAGGATACTGTACAGCGCCTCGACGACAAACCTATCTACGACGATGGAATTTTCTCGTCGGTGGAATTCTTCGCGGAGCTTTTAGAGCGGCGACGAACGTTGCCAAGGGAGTGAAAGGGAACGAAAGGGTATTCCGCAGACGTTACACACGGATGGAACGCGTTCCCGACCCGGAGGGAGCCGGACCGCGAGTCATTTCGCTGAATTTACTATAATGCCCCGTACCGGCCGGAATCAAGGCAATTATTCGAGGTATTTTCATAGCAGGGCTTTCCTATTAGCCGGACTGGCCCAGCGCCGATTATATCCCCTTCTCGCGGTCGGTGTAGGTGGCACGTAGTATCTCTCGGCGCGGCGCGGCATTCGTGTAGAGCGCGATCCGTGCGAATGCCGGCGCTCAGCGACAGGCAAAGTCGAAAATCCGTGAACGGGAAGGTAAAGGGGACACGAGGGAGAAGGGGGGAGAGCCTCGGACAAGATAGGAGAGTGTAATTTCAGCTTCTCGTCGTATAGCGAGCGCTAAATTGACAGCCCCTCCTGTTCCGTGGCACTTTATGCGGCGACGCACCACCGAAACAATAAGGACGCGAAGCGGAGCACCTAAAAGGGTAGCCGCTCGAGACCCATTTTTGGTCCTCTCCTACGTCCTTGTCCATGCTCTGCCGGCGCGCGCGCGCGGGTGTGTGTGTGTGTGTGTACGTGTATGCGTGCCAGGAGATCGATAAGTTCTCCGAGAGCGGGCCGAGTTCGGCTTTGTCCCTCCGCATTATCCTTGCAAGCGTTAACCGAATATACGCGCGGCTCTATCTGATCATCTCTCGCGAGTGATATACGAGACAACGGTGGATATTTATCAATAAACTGACCGGTTGTAAATCCAACGTGAGTTTTATCTGGCGTATTTAGCGGGGAATAAAATGGAATCGGGAATCGAGATCTTGACGATCTCTGCGCGCTTCTTTCTCTGTCACAGAGAGAGAGGGAGATCGCTAAAAGCTTACCCTGATCGGCGATGATAGGACCGGCGACGTTTAAAACCGGCGCTCCAACCTGGAGGTCCTCTGAAATTCTAGCCACGGGGTTGGAGAGCAGTAGTCGAGGAGGTCCGTTGGTCTGTCCAGAAGCAAACGTCAGAGTGAGCCTCAGCGTGGACTTTCGCGGTGGGGAACCATGATCGTTCGCCGTAATCTCGAGCTCCGTGGACCTCACCATAGGCCTCTCCAGACTCACTATGCCGGACTCGTAACCCACCGAGAATCTCGCCTCCTCGTTCGCCGATGTAATCACGTACGATACACGGCCATTGTCGCCCGCGTCTTTATCCACGGCGACCACTCTTACGAGAGTCGCCCCTGCAACGATGCCAATTTACGATAATGCGACTTTGTAATTCAATGGAATATACTCTCCTCCTCCTCCTCCTCCTCCTCCTCTCCACCTGTGCTAGTTTCGAATCTCTTTCATCTTAAGAATCGTCGTAAGAATCGCTCACCTGGCAATAGATCCGGCGTGACCGTAACTTTGGTCGATTCCGGAGCAACGAAAACCGGATCGTTGTCGTTCTGATCGAGCACGATGATCCTCGCGGTCACGGTCGAGGCTAATTGCTCACCGGGAGGAGCGCGATCGGACGCCCTCAGGATCAACGTGTACTCCGCCCTTTCCTCTCTATCCAACGGCCTGGCCAAGGTGAGAGCGCCAGTCAAGGAATCCACCGCGAAGCTGCCTCTCGATGGAAATTCAGCTACCAGGCAGTATCGAAGCTCCCCGTTCAAACCACTGTCCAAATCGGTGGCCGTCAGATTGTAGATGGTCGAACCAATGACCGCCCTCTCGGAAACGCGAACCGTTATCGGATCCTGAGGCCAACGGGGTGGATTATCGTTCGCGTCTTCGATGATGATCTTCACGGAGACGGCTATGCTCTGAGGATTTCCAATGGACGTGGTGTCCAACGCTCTGATCTCTAGATGGTATTCGCTGACGTTCTCCCGGTCGAGGGAATGAGCCACCACCAGCTGGCCGGAGCTACGATCGACGTCGAAGGCTGGAAACTCGCTGACGGGCGTCAAAGAATCCAGGGTGAAGGCCACACGACCCGCTGGACCCGCCCCCGACACCGAGCCCACCGCTTGCCCGATGCTGGCGTCCTCGCGCACCTGAACGAATCAAGTTACGTGGATTTTTTCCTAATTAGCTAGCTCGTAAAAGAGCGACGACTTTGATTTCGATTTAAAGTGCTCCTTTAAGATTCATCCCAAGTAATTAACTTTTTGCCAAGGATTCGAGTCGATGGCTCGCAGCACGAGCATGTATCCGAGAGGGCTGTTGGCTGCATTATCAGCCGCGATGCTCGTAAATCGCGGGAAAAATCGGGACGAATCGACGAGCGAACGAAAGTCGGCTGGGATAGTGTGGTGGTGCGGAGGCCGATGGTACTCACGTTAAAGGTAAGGCTGCTGCTGGTGAAGGTCGGCCGGTTATCCGCGAGCGCTAAAACCTCGACTCTTAACGCGCGTATGCTGTGCCGGGGTGGCCTGCCAGCGTCCGTTGCCTTTACGGACACCCGGTACACGTTCCGTTCCTCGTGATCGAGAACCGCCTTCGTCCTGATCATGCCGGTGATCGGGTCAATGGTGAAAACGTTGTAACCGTCCGAGTCTCGGTCTGCAGAGATCAAGGTTAGCCTGGTGAGCGTGTACACGATAATCGACACGGTCGAAAACTCGCGTGATCCATCGAATGGGAACGAGTAACGCGTTCGGACGCCATTAAGGAAACAGCAATATTACGGCCGTTCGACGTCGTTAAGCATGGATCCGAGTGGCGCGGCGAGAGGGCCGAGACCGATCGGTGAACGCGCTCGAGAAAATCGGGTGCTAATTCGCGCAACGTTCACCGTATACCCTTCTCGCTGCTCCATAAAATTCAACAAAACCCCGCTCCCCGTTCCAGTCCGCTCTTTAAGACCGTGCATAATTGTTTCGGTAATTGGATAATTCATTTCTTCGACCGGTTTGTTTCTTGCTTTTTTTCAAACTTCCCTTCGAATTCGACTCGTTTCTCCCTTTCTTCCGTCGATTTCAAACACACAATTGTCTACATATGTACCTTTCAGTATCGTGTAGGTTACGGACGCGTTTTCACCGAGATCGGTGTCCAACGCCCTAACCCTCGCCACTTCCGTTCCAGGCGGTTGTTCCTCTCGAACGCTGACCACGTCTCCTTGAGGGTCCACGATTTCTGGCGAGTTGTCGTTCACGTCCAAAACTGTCACCTTCAGAGGCACTCTAGCCGCCCTCGACGGCGTTCCCTGGTCCCTAGCTTCCAATACCAACTCGTGCACACCCTTCGTCTCCCGATCGAGCGGCTCTCTGGTGGTGATCTCACCTGAAAGTAACGAAAAAACGAAAACGTCAATTCTAATTCCTATCCGCCGCTTCCAGATTCCTCTTTGCTTCGTTTCGCCTGCTATTTGGACGTCTGGGAACGTTTACGACTCGTATTTGCTCGCATTCGCGGAACCGATCAACGTAACTGCTTCCCGCGTATGCACGTATCTCGGGATCGTGGTCGAGGAAGAGGAGAGAAACGTCCGCTATCGACAGGGAAGAAACGTACGCGGCACGAATTGCCATAAATTTTAAGATTCGCGTACGCACGGGGGACGATCGTTGGGCAGAGCTTGTGGAAACCGACCTTATCAATTTCCCTGGACGAGAACGGTTAATTGGATAATCGGTGTTCGTACGCATCGGGGAACGCTCGAATTCCTCGGCCGCGCCTCGACACCGGCTATCGTATTACGTTTCCGTCCTCTTCTCGCATATTATAATCATGCCGGAGAGATGCGTACGTATGTAGATACGGTCGCGCATGTAACGAGGCTCGTTGTAATTACGTATCTCGCGTAGAAGACGGTGAGCAAAAGTCGCGAAGCGTTGCAAGAAGAGCGAGAGAGAAAAGGGTGAAGAAGGAGGAGGGGGAAGCGGAGAGCTGTCTTCTCGACTGGACGGAGCATTAATGGGTAATTAAGCAAGTGCCTAGCCGACCGAGCAGAACTATTCCGAGATCTGGAAAGGGATCGGGATAATAATTCGTACGCGAGGACCGAAGGAGGGACACACGAGGCACCCGCGTGCCTCCACGAATTCTCGACGTACCTAGCCGAGCCCCGACTTTGTCGTCCTCGTCCTCGTCCTCGTCCTCGTCCTCGTCGTCGTCGTCGTCGTCGAGAAGACAAACGATCGACGAGGAACATGCAAACGCGCCGGCATCGAGGGATACCATCGCGGAACAATAAGAAGTATATCGTAGGACGCGTGCTAATGCGTTTCTCGTGTTAACCGTGGGACCGTGCGACAGACTTCTTGCACCCCTCTCCGGGGCACCGGCTATCTTTCTGTTCCCGCGTGTCTCTTCCAATATTTGGAAATCCATGCTCGTCCCAGGCTGCGTTAGGAAAGCTCGTTCCGTGCCGCTACGATCAATAGGAGGATTTCTTGGAAATTCTCGACGACACCAACTCCGCGGCGTATAGCCACCACGTTCAACCTCTATACGTTTCACCGTGAATCGTTCGAGTTGGAAGTTTCGCGATGGGAAGGTGGAACGTTGGCCGGAAAGTTTCGCAAGATTAATATATAATAGAAGTATGTAGGTACGGAGGTACGGCGGGACAGTTGATACTTCCGGCAGCGAGAGGCTTTATTTTTCTTTTGGCGTGCCGAAGCTTGGCGCTGGGATGACTGGAGAAGTCCCACCTCTGTAAACAGGCAGCCCTGGCGAGAGAGTTCTCTCTTCTCGCGGATACGAGAAGAGAGAGGAAGAGGAGCCGGCCTGGTCTCGAACCAGCATGTACACAAATACTCTCGTGTCGCATGCCAATCAAACCACGGATGCGCGTAGCATACGAGAGGCAGCGTGCGTGCTCGTTTCGCGGTGTGCGCTGAACCCAGGGCCCTTTCTGGTGATTCGTTACACGCCGGCAAGGTGAAAGCACCACTCTTACGGGATTACACTTTGATATCCACGAAGCAAGGGGGTGCGGCCCGGGGAGGAGATGTTACAAAAACGAAATAATCGCGCCACTGGCCCCGTATCTCCGATATTGCGTTGTATGGTCCTCCAATTAAAGGCATTCGTATCAAAAATAAATTTACGTCCCTCCATTTTCTTTTCCTCTTCTCCCCACCTTCTTTTCTCTTTTTCTTTTCTTCTCCCTTTCATTTTACTTCCTCCGACCGCGCTATAAATCTTGAGCGCGCGCCAGTGTGTCGAGACTCTCTGCCAACGGAGAACGAACGACAGAGCTTTGTGCTCGGTCGCTCGCTCGTGGAAGCCGATTTCATTAAGCGTTTTCGAGGACTTACGAAACGCACGAAGATCTATCGTGCTTTCTGACCGCGCGCGCTTGCTATAAAGTCTTGCACAATCGTTGTTCAACAATGGTACGCAACATCAAGGGCCGTGTGCGCCGGAGTTGACGCAAGAGCAAACGCGTAAATTAACAGCGTCGACGTCTGAGGGCTATTTAGAAAATGAATCGCTTCGTCTATCCCTTTTCCTCGCGCCTCGCTCGATGCCCCTTCAAATTCAATTCGAATACATCATCCCCACCCTTGCGCGGTTTAGAGTGGCTAGACCAGTCGTGTAAATTCTTCTTTCCAGCGGACGGACTAGAAAAGGAGGAGCCGTGTGTTAATTTCCTCGAGGCTCGAACGGTTAAAGAGGATTCGCCAATATTTTTCCGCGCCAGCTTGCCATGGGATTTCCTCTCTGTGCACCGCGCCGGGACAGCTTTCGTAAACACTCGAGCGTCGTTTCGACGAGGGGAACACGTGCGTATGTATATTACGTTATGTATGTAGGTAACGGTTGACGCCGGTTATGGCAAACAGAAGAGGAAGGGAAGAGAGAGGAAAAGATAGAGGAGGCTCCTTACCTGTATCGGGGTCCACCGCGAAACTGCTGTTGGCCTGGACCACCGCGTACCTGAGCAGCGCGTTCTTACCGAGATCGGGATCGGAGGCGCTCACGGATCCGACCAGCGTACCCGAGGGCAGGTTCTCCAGCAGCTCGAACCCGTAGAAATCCTTCTCGAACCGTGGATCGTTGTCGTTGTCGTCGAGCACCGTGACCAGCACGGATGCGCTCGCCGTCGCAGCTGGAGAACCGTTGTCCGTCGCTAGAACGGTCAACGCGTGTCGATCGAGGGTCTCGCGGTCGAGAATCTGCGCCAGATAGATCCAGCCGGTGTTCGGGCTGATCCGGAAGGCCGTGGATCCTTGGAGGCGGTAACTGAGCCTCGCGTTGTTGCCTGTGTCGAGGTCCAACGCGGTCACTTGAAGAATCTGCCGGGAATAGAAACAAGTTGTTTTTAGATCGATCGTGGTAGAGAAAGTCGAGTAGTAGGTAGGACAGTTGCGATACTTTCTCGGCAGTGTTCGCGCAAGGGAAGAGCGAGGGGTGGTGAAATCTGAATTTCTGCGATGTAAACGTTTCTGCCGAGGAGGCGGACGAAAAAGGAGGCGGGCTGAGAGAGAAAGAGGCGGCGGGGAGACAAGACCAGTCGATCCGGTCGTTCCGTATTAATTAAACGCGCAGCCAAAGACCGCGAACCCTAAATGCGTTCGAACCGGTCGATGTTTTCCAGCGCGGGAGGATCGTGAATTACGGAGGTCGAAGAAGAAGAAGAAGAAGAAGAAGAAGAAGAAGAAGATGACGAAGAAGGAGGAGGAGAAGAAGAAGATGAAGAAGAAGAAGAAGCAGAAGCGTAGGATCGAGGGTATATAACTTCGTATCCCGTGCACGAAGCCTTGGCGCACGGGCAATGATGGATGGCGAACGAACGGAGAGAAGGCGACGAGCGCGAAGGGAGGTGGGACGAGGACAGCTGGATAGAGAGAAGGATCGGTCCTCG